AAAGTACAAGTGCGTTTAAAATAACCTGGGGCTGCAATAAGGAAGAAAGATGTCAAAGAACTTTACCATTAATCGTTTTCTGGCTAACCCAAAAAAATGTATTGCATCGTTTTTAAGCCACTGAAAAGTAGACATAGCCTATATTTATATTTTGTATGGGAATGCTAATGGCTAGCTCTCCCAAGGTATCGTAGGCCTCCTTGGTGTGAACTCAGTCTTGAATTTGCGAAGCATCATTTTATGTCCTGCATGGGCTGCATCTTCATTGTTATTCCCACAATGCATCCAGTGTAGAATGAAACTGTGAGTTCAGCCTACAATAATAACTCTACAGCATGCAGTCTGTGTTTGTACGTGTGTGATCCACTGTTGCTGCATCAGGCAGGAGAGAGTGGGAGGAGCTCCTCTCTTCTGGGAAACAGGCTGTAGTTGATTGGCGGCCTGTGAGTTCACACATGGATCTATTTAGGAGAGAAGACAAGGAATCCCGCAAGTTGACGTATCTGTCCCCACTCCAGCATGAGACATGAAACTCATGTTAGTTTCACAGCAGCGGTTGTCAAGCAGCTCGGCATTTCCAGTATGCTGGCATGAAATAACGTGCGCTGGCTGCTGCTCAGCTTCCCATTCCTGAACAAGGAAACCCTCACACTGAGTTGGGGGACCAATGATGTATCTTAGAGTGGGCAGGATATACTGCATGTACTTGTTTTAAACCACCCTCCATTAGTGCTGCTGCCTGTTAAGTGAAGCATCACTATTACAGTAACAGGCAAATATGCCACGTACATATATGCATCCTAAAGCCCATCTTTTTATATATATTCTATATGTGAATATATAGACATGTATGTTATAAAACACCTGCTACACATTTCCTTCATAGTAATCATTGCATCTTCACTGCAGAAGAATCACAGTCTTGTTGCAGTTAAACAGTTCTTATATCTTTATTTATCCGGAGGACAGTGTGTTGCACAGATGCTTCCTCCCGATATAACATCAAATGCTGAACGGCAGATACAGCTACACAACAACAGAAAAATGATTGACCATTCTAGCACATCTATTGTTGGGTTTATTAAAAAAAAAGCCTTTTACTGAAGACACACTGTGCTCTGTTTTGGGAAGTGTGAGCTCATGAAAACAAAGTGTAAATTTACCAAAACAAAATAGCATTGCTTTTGCTTTCATTTGGTATGCTGCACTCTCTCTCTCTCTCTCTCTGTCACACACACAGCGAAAGAGAGAGAGAGAAAGAGAGAGAGACAGAGTTGTTCTGTATTCTTTCTGTTTCTGAAAAATGTCAAATTTCTAAAAAGCACATTAAACGTCCCTCGTTCCTCAGGAGACAAGAGTGTGCAGATTTACAATAAGAGGGTGTCATGAGGAAATGTCAATGCTTGGAGTATTGATAAGGAGTCTATAAAAGTATTTAAATATATATATATATATACACACACACACACACACTCTAAAAATATAACCCAGCGCTGGGTTAAAAAAGGGACAAACCCAGCTATTGGGTTGTTTTGACCCAGCGGTTGGGTTGTTTTGACCCAGCGGTTGGTTAAAACAACCCAATAGCTGAGTCAAAACAACCCAATAGCTAGGTTTGTCCCTTTTTAACCCAGCACTGGGTTATATTTAATATGCGGCAAGAAAGTAATAGAGGACAAAGAAATGTGTTACAGCTGCCCTTTATCCAATTCTAATGTAGATTTTCCTTTTTAACTTTTTTGGTTAATGTATCACTAACCAGCATTTTCTGTTATTCCTCATGCACCGGTGTGATTGTATTTATTCTCTGTAAACACATCTGTGGCATGCATAACCAATGAAAATAATTCATCATCTGCAACAAACAGTTTTACACGATGCGGCAAGACATCAGAATTGAGACGTGCTTATCCATACAAAACGTGATGTTTGAGATATGTGGTTCCTTTAAGTGGTGAGATGACTATAATGTTTTAGTTATGTGTCACACATCATAATTACAGGTGGAGTTTTCCGCAACAGTTCTTTACACATTATTTTCTGGTATGCTAGTGCACCTTTCCAAATTTACATTATGAAAAATCTGCATAATCTTGCCCGGACGTTGTTAGTATGGGATTTTACCCAACTAGTCGCATATTAACACATCTAATGTTTAAGACTTGACTTTGAAACAATATGTATTTTAATATTTAACCTGGTACAATGCCCCAGTGAACTTCCATATAAAATGCATGATTGCAAAATATATTTTTAAATGTAATCTATTATATATTATTATTAGTTCATTAAATATATTCTCTCATTAGTTTGGTAACACTTTAGCACATATTAATGTCTTATTCTACATGGCCATATTTTAGATCCTTTAATCCTACCCCATAACTAAACTTAACTTACTGTTAATAAGCAGCAAATTAGGAGTTTATTGAGGAAAAACTCTTAGTTAATAGTGAGAATTGCTCCCCAAACTAAAGTGTGACCATTAGTTTATTAAATTGTTTAGCAGTGTTGGAGGTAACACATTACAAGTAACCCGACTTACATCATCAGATTAGTTTTTTAACAAATAAAGTAATGCATTACTTTTAAAATGTACAACAATATATATTTTTCTTTTTCAAGTAAGTAATGCAAGTTACTTTGTTCTCCCATTTATTCACTGACTCCTCTCCTGTCACCGTGTTGAGAGAAATTGGGAGTGCGGTGCAGAGGCACTTCCTTCAGCCTGAGGCTTGTTCATTTCACTTTTGGTGTGAAAGGGCCTTTACAGTTGCCAAAAATATAACTTTTGGGTTTTTCGTTATTAAAAACAAATAGTCAAGCCAAGCCAGGTGACAAAAAGTAACGTAATGCATTACTTTCCATAAATGTGAACCATGTGGACCACAAAAGCAGTCTTAAAGGGATAGTTCACCCAAAAATGAAAATGTGATGTTTATCTGCTTACCCCCAGGGCATCCAAGATGTAGTGACTTTGTTTCTTCAGTAGAACACAAAGATTTTGAACTCAAACCGTTACAGTCTGTCAGTCATATAATGGAGGTGAATGGGAATCACGGCTTTGAGAGTCAAAAAAACATACACAAACAAAACGGCTCGTGACGATATATTGATGTGTAAAGACACGAAACGATCAGTCTGTGCAAGAAACTGAACAGTATTTATATAGTTTTTTACCTCTGATTCACGCAATGTCCGAACTGTCCTGAGCGGCGGCGCATCCTCCTGATCGTGTTCTCAACAGCAGGCGCGTGAGGCGTCTTCTTCTTGCTTTACGGCGGATCGCAGACATATCAGTGCATTACCGCCCCCCCCCCAATCTCTTAAATGGACCATTGACACTCCTAAGATTGTATATAGAGTAACTTGAGATTGTAGATCGAGTAAGAAGAAGAAAACGCCTCACACGCCTGCTGTTGAGAACACGCTCAGGAGAACGCACCGCCGCTCAGGACAGTTTGAATTTTGAACTCAAACCGTTGCAGTCTGTCAGTCATATAATGGAGGTGAATGGGAATCACGGCTTTGAGAGTCAAAAAAACATACACAAACAAAACGGCTCGTGACGATATATTGATGTGTAAAGACACGAAACGATCAGTCTGTGCAAGAAACTGAACAGTATTTATATAGTTTTTTACCTCTGATTCACGCAATGTCCGAACTGTCCTGAGCGGCGGCGCATCCTCCTGATCGTGTTCTCAACAGCAGGCGCGTGAGGCGTCTTCTTCTTGCTTTACGGCGGATCGCAGACATATCAGTGCATTACCGCCCCCCCCAATCTCTTAAATGGACCATTGACACTCCTAAGATTGTATATAGAGTAACTTGAGATTGTAGATCGAGTAAGAAGAAGAAAACGCCTCACACGCCTGCTGTTGAGAACACGCTCAGGAGAACGCACCGCCGCTCAGGACAGTTTGAACAGTTCGCACATTGCGTGAATCAGAGATAAAAAGACGATATAAATACTGTTCAGTTTCTTGCACAGACCGATCGCTTCGTGTCTTTACGCATCAATGTATCGTCACGAGCCGTTTTGTTTGTGTATGTTTTTTTGACTCTCAAAGCCGTGATTTCCATTCACCTCTATTATATGACTGACAGACTGTAACGGTTAGAGTTAAACATCTTTGTTTGTGTTCTACTGAAGAAACAAAGTCACCTACATCTTGGATGCCCTGGGGGTAAGCAGATAAACATCAAAATGTAATTTTTGGGTGAACTATCCCTTTAAGTCGCTGGGGAATATTTGTAGCAATAGCCAAAAATACATTGTATGGGTAAGATAAAGTAAAGATTATGTTCCATGAAGATATTTTGTAAATGTCCTACTGTAAATATATCAAAACTTAATTTTTGATTAGTAATATGCATTGCTAAGAACTTCATTTGGACAACTTTAAAGGCAATTTTCTCAATATTTAGATTTTTTTGCACCCACAGATTCCAGATTTGATATTTGGCCTATATTCCAGGCCAAATATTATCCTATCCTGACAAACCATACATCAATGGAAAGCTTATTTATTCAGCTTTCAGATGATGTATAAATCTCAATTTTGAAAAACTGACCCTTATGACTTGTTTTGTGGTCCAGGGTCACAAATAGTAACTAAGTAACACGATTAGTTACTTTTGTATGGAGTAGCGAAATATTCTAATGCATTACTTTTAAAAATAACTTTCCCCAACACTGTTTGAATTTTTATAAAATACACCATAACCCAAGGTTTACTAAACATTTATGATCATTAAGGCTTATAGTTTAAATCCCATTTCAACATTAAACATAGGATCCTATCCGGCTCCTCAATGAAAAACCCACATCTTTACCTCCAAAAGTTGTTATGGTGCCACCTGCTGGTACTCCTCAGATATTGTGTATGGACTGTATTCCTCTTTTTCTTTTCCTCGTGTGTGTTTTTAGCTTTCGCCACTCATTCTGATGAGATAAAAACAGCCGTTCTGAAGTAAAAATGCAAAACACAACCCCAGCTGCTATAATGTCTTTATTTCAGCATGATCTGGCTACCACTACAATGGTATCGACCTCCAGAACAAAGATAAAAAAAAGAAAGAAAGAAAATGGCACTCGACTAGTACAATACTGCTACATACAGTACACACATTTATAAAATAGAAACCAATATTCTCTATACACTAAAGTATGTACATCTTTGATAAATTAAACCAATACTGCTTAGATTGAACATTTTGCTTGAAGAATAACTGAAAGGATGACTGGAGAAACGCAAGCAGGCACTGGAGCATCTTCTGATTGAACTGCCATTGACAGTCTTTACTGACACTGAACTTGAATTTGTTTGTAGGCACATTTATTCATTTTATTAAAAGCATTTTATTGGAAGGTCCAATAAAAAACATATGCTAATAACCGTCCTGTCTGTCTGAGAGGTAGTACCAATGCATGATATCCTGGTAATGGTGATATCCCATAATCCTTAGCTGGCCACCATCCAGTCTTTCTGCTTACGTGTTACAATGCAAACCCGGCTGCCAATATTCACAGCACTGCAGCAGCTTCTCACAACATGCTAAATAAGCATGTCGCATTTCAAGACATTGGCGTCTGCTGAGAAAATAAACAAATGCCCGTGGAGCAGTTTACCGTTAGGGGCTAATCAATCTGCCAACAAATCTAGGGTGATTTCCCACCCTCCCTACAAAGTTGGATTTCCATTGCAAATTATAGAAGTCTCTTGGAAAATGTTTTTTTTTTTTTACAATTAAATACACAAATAAACCTCTGAGGACTAGACCGCTTGTGCAAGATAAATAAAAAAAAAATTGCCTGTACATATCATCAGCACGAAGGAAATCTTCCTTTTCCGATGCGTGTAGGAGCTTCCGTTTGGTTTTCCACATTCTGTCAGACCTGCTGATTTCAGATAATGCAAGAAATGCAAGAGTGTGCGTGTGTGCAAGAGACGAGAGGTATAGAAAGAGGACAGAGCGAGAGAAACAGAAAGAGCGTATTTTGGTTAAGCATGAGGAAAAATGTTCTCTTTGGGGGTTTCGAGAAAGCAGCAGCAAGTAAAAAGCCTACTGACTTCCTTCCAACACACACACACACACACACACACACACACACAAGCATATTAGCAGAGCAAGAAGACGTTTAAAAAGAGGTGCCAAGTCTAGCAAGGTTTGACCTCGCTGATCCGGTCTGGTTTCTTTCTGAAGCTGGGGTTGTTTTTCTCTTTGCACAGCTCAGTTGTGTCCACGAGAGGGAGCAGTTCCAGTAGCCCTGAATCTGTAACACCAGCATCCTGAGCAGCTCTAGTGTCTCTTCATAGAGGAGACCTTCTTCTTCCTCGCTGCCAGCATCTCGTAGAAAGGATCTCTACTGATGGCCGCCCTGGAGACAAAGAGGAAGAACATTATGAGAACTGCCTCTCTTCTAATGTTAAAGCTTGTTCAGTTAGGGTTAAAAAACACTTAATATATAGTAATATTATTGATTTTAAAATTACACTATTAGATGAGAACAAAATTTGATCTGAATTGAGCTGAATACCGACACTATTGTCTTCTGTAGAGCTGCATTACAGCTGAAATTCAATTTGTTTCATTTGTTGAATTTTGCAACATTAATACTGTTATTTTCCTTTTTTATTACTTTGAAGCTGCTTTGAAACAACCTGTGCTGTATAAAGAGCTCTTTAAATCAGATAGTCATTTTCCAAAAAAAGAGAGAAAAACAAAGGCACTAAGTGCAAATAATGATTTTATTTGCACTATGTAAAAATCGCAGCATTTTCTTTGCAATAAATGTAAATAGTAGTTAGATGCTATTTATAGGCAACTTAGCGCAAAAAATTGCAGATATTTGCACCTCAGTATTGTAATACATTATAAAACAGTATGCAATAGAGTGTAAATGGTAATTTTTTAAAAATTATTAAATGGATTCAGCCTTATTGGGACAATAAAGCCCTACCTGACTTTATTATTAAATAACCATGAGGCATTTATTTCCACTTTTCGAAAGTTTCCTCCATTTTTATTGAAAATAAATGCCTTTCCGATCTGAAATACAGAGTTCTGGCATGAAACTCTAGATGGCGCAGTCCGATAGGTCTAACTCAATCTGACTTGGCGACATCATTGTCACATGGCAGCCGATTGGTTCTCTCCTGTATCGGTAGCCAATGAGCTTACTGCTCAATATTCAAATACCTGGCTTTAGTTTGCTTTGTCAGTTTGCAGCGCACTTCAGAAACCCTCCACCTTCCCCAGCTCCACCTGTATAGATCTGCTACGAGGTGATTCATGTATGCTATATGGGGGTTATTCATGTGTTATATGTGCAGCAGCAGTATTTCTTACATGCTCACAGCAGCATGTTGTGGATGTACTGGCAGTAGCAAGTCTCGGTACTTGCTCTGCCGCAGCAGCGTAGCAGATCTATTCCGCCAAGACCAAATACATTAACATTGTCATGTACATTAACATGCCAATCCCTCCGAGAGTTGTCATGACAGAAATATGGTCAATCGCGTCAAAAGTTACCAATACGGGCCTTTCGTCCTATGCCACTGCTATTGTTGTTTAACATTTGCAATGCTGTCTATCCCAACCAGACATTGGTCTGCCGACAAGGTGGGCTATCTGCACTTTGTGTAAATAGACACTCCGAAATATAAATATCACAACTTAAATTTACATTAAATATTGACTTATGTAAGAAGAAAGTGAGAGTGTGGAGTCATATGAGAGACATAAAACTAGAGAAAAAAATACCACAAATAAGCTGCATTTAAACCAGAATATCCCTTTAATCAAACACATATTTGTATTTAGATGAGTAACACTCACTTAATGCTGTTCATCCATTCGTCCTTCTCCTCGACGGTGGGAGCAGAGATGCGGTAGAAAGTGTGGTTTCCTTCAACAACCCGTCCGTCCGCTTCTGTTTTACATGCCTTGATCACCTGGTCCTTATTGTCAGGGATGAAGAGCTCAAAGCAGTTCTGAGAAGCAAACACAGGCAGACAATCACATATCTGACCACTAGGGGGAGACACGGTGTAAACTGTGCCTAGATAAATAGAAAAAGTTCCTGTCTCAGCAGTTTAAAAATTGCTGAGAAGGATGTTTTACCGGCTTCTTGTCCTCCACTTCACGGATGCTGAGGTTTTCCAGGGGGATGATGCCTCTTGGTTCTTTATCCTACATGAAAAGAGCCAAATGGGTTTCCATTTATCACAATTCACCTTGGACCACATGATAAAGAAAGTGTGAATTATATCTAAACTAAATTTCTAACTGACTCTTTCATAAGCACCATCTTGAAAACGTTCTTGACGAGTGCTTCATTAACAACTGTTGCCATCTTCTAACTTGTATCAAAGTTATTACGATTGGTTTCAAATGAGGCCTTACTCTTTTCAGTGACTGAGACGCATTTGCCTCCATTATGATGTACAATCAAGCTTTTAATGGAAAGTGTCAAAGGGTAATTTACATGAAAACACTAGACTAATAATCCATTTTTTTTTTACTTTTCAACTTACAGTAATGCCACTATTTTAGTTCAATTCGCATAAATTATCATTTTAAATTAGATGAGAAGTGAGAAACGCATAGCATGTATATGTTACTGTTAGACATGGCCCAAAAGATGTTTCTTCAGTACTTACAGTAGTGTACTCAAAGTAGTAAAGGCAGTTATCTGTGAGAATGAACCACCGTCTTTTCCAGGTTTTGACGCGTCCTCCTGAGGAACAAAAGATGAATGTTAGTTTTCAGTGCAGTGGAGCTGGCAGACGTCACAGATCCGTGCAGCTGAAGACTTTTGAGCAGCAGAAGAGCAGACAGACAGATGAACAGACAATGAGAGCTCTTCTACAGCGACTCCATGTCCAATAAGGCCCAAGCACAGCATTCCTTACCAGCAGCACACCATGCTCAAACCAGCCGCACTCATGAATCAACCTTCACAGCTATCAGACATCACCTGATAGCTGCCATTCCTCTTAACCCCACTCAAAAATTCTGTTTACCTCCTAAAAGACCAGCCAAAGGTAAAATGTGTTTAAAGGGAGCTATATTCTCTATAACCAGCTGATGTTTGCTATCCAGACATACAGAGAGGTTGTCATTTCCTGAACTTGTCCTCTCCTCAATCGTCTCCCTATTACTATTAACCTCTCAATTAACTAACAGACACAATTGTGTTCGTAAACTGCTGTGACAAACTCTGACGGCAGGTCAGTGCTGCACCGGTTAAGCTCACATTCTTGGGACATTTCCCCATGTCCCTCTCTCTATAGGGACTGCAAGGTAAACACAGCGCTCGGTGATCCGAGAATGACCTCTGACCTGTGCCACCCTCGTTTCCTCTGCAGGGAAATCTGATCACAGTGGCAAAGGACATGCCATCAAACTGAATAAACTGTAAAGTGCAACCAAAAACACTTTTAACTGTGTATCAGGATAGTTGAAGCAGAGCATATCTGTAGACATCTTTTTTTAAAAAATCATTAAATCAATAAATATTTATACATAGGGGAAACTCCATTTCCACCTGTTCAGAATTTCCTTTGAATTCATGAATTGAATGCATGCATAATGATTATAAAATAAGTTGTTTAGGCCTGTCGTTTATCATTATCTAATTATGATGCTAATATAAAAACACTCCAGTTTTACGGTTACTTAACATCCACATCATGCTACACATTCTCGGTCCTTAGAGTTTTATATATTTATTTAATTTATGAAAATAATAAAACTCTTTACGCTTTAAAGTACGAAGACACTTCTTAAGTTCTTCATACAAAACAAAGGCTTGTAGGTTCAATTATTATATTGTGTTATATTATATTACAAGTCAAAACTTTGGAATAATTAATACTTTTTTAATGGTTTTAAAAGAAGTCTCATGCTCAACAAGATTGCATTTACTTGATTTAAAAAATAAATAAATAAAAAACATTATTATTGTGAAATATTACAATTTAATGTATATATTAGCAGCAATAATAATCAATAATAACTGAGCAACAAATGTGATTTCTGAAGGATCATGGGACACTGAAGACTGGAGCAGACTGAAAACACAGGAATAAATTACATTTTAAAATATATCAAAATAGAGAACAGTGATTTAAGTTGTAAAAATATTGCCTATTTTACTGTATTTTTATATTCTATTCTATTAATACTTATATGATATTATATTATTCAGGTTTGCTGAGCTTCAGTGTGAATGTAAATCGAACCAAGATTAAAGATGAACAAAAAAAAAAAAAAAATATTTCAACTTTTAAAAAATTATTTTTTAACAGCAGTAAACAAAGTCTTTATATATATTTAATTACATGCTTTTATGTAAAACAAAAAATTGTCAGGAAAAAAAAAAACATGATAGTGACAGGCCTAATCTTGTTTAAATTAGTTTTCTATGTAACACAGCACTGCACACATTTCATTTCAAGCATTTCTGCTAAACAGGAAATGATCCTCCTGCACTATAGACTGCTATTGTATTTGAATCTTGGCATAAGCGACAAACCAAACAAACACGAATCAGAGCACTACAGCAGGTGAGAAGTTTCTGAGCAAGCTGATTGAGTTATCGGCTGTGATTAATGATCACTCCAGTTGCAGTCGTACAGCAGAAACCCCGTCCAGAAATATCTCTGAGAGGGAGGAGATTTGTGGAGGGGGATGTGAAGAGGCCGTGCTGGGCTGCAGAGGAGGCTGACTGACACAGGGCTGGGTGATAGATGGGCGTTCAGATCTCTGGCGTGACAACAAAAAGCCTCAAACTTTGAATTCCTTTTAGAAGTTTTTATTATACGTATGCTAATGTATGTGCTAATCTCATATTCTTGACTTGTAAGTGAATCAGAACACTTCAGAAATGGTTTTATTTTGGATTCAGCGATGTCTGATTCATGAAACCCACCCTCACCCAGCATCCTAGTGGTGAGTCCGATCTGACCAAATACACACACACACACTTTCCTCAGCGGTGCAGTCCAGCATCTCTCACACACACACACACACACACACCTATACTTTACATACAGCATGAAGAACAGCAGTCTTTGGTCCAGATGCAGTTTTCTGACTCAGTCTAATCAGATCAAACACCACATCTTGTGCATTCAATCATTAACAGTTATATGACTGAATATCATTTTAAAAGGAACAGTTCACAGAGAGAAAAAAAAAAATCTGTCATCGTTTTGTTCCAAACCCATATGAGTTCTTCTTCAATAAAGCACAAAAGAGGATGTTTAGAAGAATGTCCAAGCTGCTCTTTTCCATATGAATAGGAGTGGGCAATATGACCACATTCTTGTATCACGATATGAACAATTTTATTTTATGATACACATATATATATATATATACCAAAATAGCTATTTTTGCCTAAAATAAGGTTATTTCACAATAATCGACACCTACAATACTAGTCTAAATGTGGCCTAGTTATCCTAAACCATATCTGTAACCATAATTTAAGTAAAAGCTTACTGAAGACATTACTGTCAGTAAGAAAATATGAACTAAAAAAAGAAAAATAATTCTAATCTAGTCTTATCTTTTTCAGGTCCATCTATCAAAAATAAGAAAAACAACAGAAAAGGAATAAAGTAATCAAATGTTTTTTTTAAAGCATAGTCTTTTCAACATTACTTAAATATACATTAATTCTTATTAAATCTACAAAATTTAGTCAGTCAAGAGCAGTGAGTGAATTTCTCTGTCTTTTGTTGTTTAAAGGGGGGGTAGCAATGCTGTTTCATGCATTCAGAGTTGTTTACACTGTTAAAAGAGTTGGATTCTCATGCTAAGCATGGATTGAGTTTCAAAAAACAATTTGGACATATGACGGAGTATTTCTGTGCCAAAAATCTTACTTCCGGGCTCGTACAATTTTCGGAGAGTTTTTTTTCGATCGTGGCTCTTCATGACGTAAATGAGGGTGGAACTCCTTATATGGGCATTTCTCTCAGAAGAACGCGCACGCATCGACCAGAGCAAGAGCGAGATCGCGCCCCTCAATGTGCTTCATCCGGCGGCAGCGCTGCACGGGACTCGCTCGAAAAGAATGTCTCCAAAGAAGTGTGTTTTTGGTTGTAAGGGAAAGATAACTTTGTTCAGCTTCCTAAAGAACCCAGCGTTATGTAAAAAGTGGATGCAGTTTGTTTTTCCGGAGCAGCAACGGAGTTTCACAAGTGTGTTTGTTGACGAACGTTTTATAAACAAGGCCCAGTTCGACGCTGGATTTGCACATCGTTTGATACTGAAAGATGGAGCGGTCCCAGCTATAAAAGATCCCAGTCATGATTCAGAACTGCTCGTCAATCTTTAGCTCCGCCCACGGCGCTCCTCCAGGAGCTCGGCTGTTTCTGGAGAGAATCGTAAAGCTGTATCTTTCTTTTATAAATATGATAAAACTAAAGAGTTTTTGAAGATATGAAGAATGCAGTACTACTCTATAGGTACTCAAGATTAACATGAGATTGGGTGAAACTGTGTGTGTTATGTCCCCTTTAATTATCATTACACAGACAGTAGCAGGTGTGTTAGGCTGCTGTCACTTTAAGACCTAATGCACGGATCTAATATACTAAACTGATAGATAACCATAAATTGGTATGGCTCAAATTTTCAGGCAAATGTTAAATCTTTAATTGGTTTCAAAGGTTAAAATGTTGGCCTGACCGCAAAAGAGACGATAATCCAAAACCTCTAATGTTGACAAATTTACACCAGTTTATTGTGTCTACCAGTATATCGCCCAACTCTACATGAATCTGAATGGGGACAGATGCTGTATTCCTCAGGAGAAAATCATATGAGTTTGGGACAACATGAGGGTGAGGAAACGATGACAGAATTTCCATTTTTGGGTGAACTATGCCTTTAGTCTGCTTTTGTTGCTGTTTTCATCAGTGTTTGTTGGGCTCTGTTCAGACTGAGAGGAAGCAGAAAATACTGCAGCTCCCAAAGTGGAAATGACATAGAGAGAGAACGTTTCAAATACCACAGCAAACAGAGAGAGGTGCTCTTCAATACGCTGGTCACAAAATCAAAAACCAAGCACCCACCACCACGCTGAGACAAGGACAAAAATCGTTGATTCAATGAATAAAACGAGTGACCAGACAAACAAATGAAGGAACATGTAATAACTAGAGTAAACTCAGAGAAAGACAAACCCCATGGGAAAAAATAAATAAATAAACCTATGGTGGCTACTAACAGAAAGAGGGGACAGGAAGCAAGGCTGATCACCAAAAGCACCTGAGAGCGGAGAGATGAGCGATTGCTTGGGAAGAACAGGTGTACATACCTCCTGAGGGAAAGACAACAGCCAAAATCATGGGAACAAACAAACAAACGAGGAAGAAAAGGAAACAAAAAAATTAAATTAAATAGGAAATCGTACTCCCCACACGCTGCCTCTCTGATCAAAGGAAGAACTTGTGCATTTCTTGGTATTGTGAATTACGGAGGACCGTTCCAAAGTAAAACAGGGGATACAAGTACAAATAATAATTCACACAATTTAACACAGCTTTCCTGTCCATATCAACGAAGAGGGAAAATGTCTCTGGGTGCAGTTTTGTTTTCAGGGGTCTTTAACCTTTTTCAGTCCATTTAAGCATGGTCTATAATCATATGCTATAGTAAAATACTATACTAAATACTAAATACTAAATTTCCTTTGTTTTGATGCTAATATGGCAAAGCTATTAAAATGATTATCACTGATGTATATGCATGAATCATATTTGTGTAAATTATGTTATCTTAATTAATTACAATATGGTAGTCAACTTTGGTGACCATTACATATTTGTGGCATATGTGTATTGTCATTTCAAACAACCATTGGCAGGCTCTCTGTGAAACCTCGATGAAGATCCCCGTCATAAATCATTCGCTTGCATGATGTGAATTTATGCTTTCAATGAAGTCTCTATAATGCTCTAAAGCTGTGGTTCTCAACCAGGAGGCTTTAAAGAATTATAAAAGTGTGATTTCTAGACCTGGAAAAGTCACATCAATTAATAAAATCCAGCTCCTTGGGAATTTTGATACATGAATAACAAATTTTTCTAGTTATGCATGAATATAAAAGGTGCACTCATATGTGTGTTTATCATTATTCACGGATACACCTTTAATGAGTATAATTCATTAAAATAATAACCAGTCGTCTTGTGTTATAACCAAAAACTGCAGATTGTCAAAGGGTAACTAGGGTATTACGATTATGAATAGATCAGGGTATTAGGTTATGAATAGATTTCTAAAACATTACATATACAGGCTGCCCATCTGAAGGAGCAGTTTCTCTTGCACCTTTCAAGACAGGACTCTGATTTCTAGCATCCAACTGAATTATGTCTAATTCTAAAAGGATGCGTTCAGCCTCAAGCAGCTGATTCATTGTGATCACGAAGAGTCATTACCTTCATATGATGTGAGAGGAGATATTGATCCAGCGTGAGAGAAAGAGGGAAAGATGTGCTACTGTATAATCTGATGCATGGATGTGTTGTGAAGTTCATAAAATGGGCCTTCGGGAAGTGTGTGTACAAATCTCACACTCAGTCCATGTGTTTGAGCAGGACATCTCTTATTCAAAGGAAAATATATCTGAGAGTTGAGTTGCACGATCATCACAAAAATTAATACATATTTTGACTCAAGTAGTCCCACTCACCCAGTTTGAGCAGCCAGCCCTCTCTGTCTGGGTTGAAGAAAGTGTGCGTCAAGTCATTGCCGTCATCCTCAGGGATTTTGAAGGGCTCGTTCTTGATGCTCTCATATAGATTCTGCACGAGTCAAAGCAAAATACCATGAAGTGCACGCAAGTTATTCATTCAGAATGCTTGGGCAAAGTCCTCAAGAAAGTGGGTGCAACCATGGCCTACTTACCATTTCTAACCTTATTTTGCACATTATTCATTAACATAATCAGTGACTACATTTATATAATAATTTTTCAACGGCCATGTTGGAAAATTCATAAACATGTTTGAAAACACATTATATTCCAACCAAGAAGCATACTCTTTCAAAGAGACAGGCAGACAGCTCAGCCTTTTAAAAAATATATTTATTTATATGACTTATTTTTAATGTAACCTATGAAATTTAGGATAAAATCTGATCATATTATAACCCTAGATCTAGGGCAGGGTTCCTAATTTCTGGTCCTAGACAGCCAGATGTAGAATAAATTGGGGACACATGAAATGTACGCCACTTGGAGAAAGACTACAACAATAATAAAAACAACAATATAAATATGTGGGGAAAAAAGTGAGAGACCAACCCTGAGCAGTTCTTCTGGCAGGTCTCCTCCATCATTAATGCCTCTGTTCATGGAGATGAAACGCTCTACTGTGGGCTTGTCCTTAACGTTTGGGTTGTGAAGGCTGGTGTTTAACATGATGATGGCGAAGGACAGAATGTAGCACGTGTCTGCAAAAAAGCATGCTGTTCGTCACAACCATTTACAATGACATTCAGCATCTTTCCATCACTGTCATTTAAATAGTTCATGTTCATACTGTAAGTCGAATTAATGCTAATAAGTAGTAGTATGACTGTGAAGTTAACAGAGGTCAGCATCTGATCATAGCATTTTCCAGCACTGAGACACACTAGCCTGAATATGAAGCTATTTAAATATTTCATGCTCGTACTGTAACTCGCATGAATGCTAATGAGTAGTATGATTGTGAAGTTACTGAGGGCGATCCTGACATGAACATCCCGAATGGAGAAGTGTCTATACCTCTACAGCAAAGAGACAATGAGAGAACTCGGTTGTAAATATATGTGTGAGGGATTTCAAAATATTACAAGTATTTACACACAATACAATTTCTGATGCCATTTGCCTGAATTTGCTTTATGTTGGAAATATAGGCTACTGGTAAATGGCATTTATTTAGAGAAGAATGCATATGTCCAATTCAATACTTCAAACTCTCAATTTGTGAGCATTACTGGGAAAAGCAGAGCTCGTGCTTCTTAGAAATGCTATGAATGCATGTTTGAACGCTAAACACAGACTCAAATGGAAATAGACCCACCTGTGGACTGGAAGACGCCGGGGTTGCATTGGCAGTAGCGCTGGGCAAACGCCTCCATCATTCTGTCGATCTTCTGGGCCTCACCAGGAAGTCTGAAGCTCCAGAGAAACTGCCTGTGGAGACAAACATCACAATGGTATTTAAAACATGTACTACACCAGGACATTCAAAGTGAGATGCGTAGGAGTGTGTGCGTCAAGATCAATCCCCTAAACAATGAGACTAAACTACACAAGAACCTTCTGGAAAAAGACATATAGTTATATTTATAATGAAATGTCAGTGTACTTATTTTTTATACAGTAATTACAGAAGTCATATACTAGTATTTTTTCAAATATATTAAATATTTCAAACAACAGCTGCTTCTACAGTCAGTTTTACCTGAGAGCCTGAACCAGGTTCAAATCTGTGAACTCATGCAGCTCCACAAAAGCGTGAAGGACTTGGATATTGAAGTCATCCCTGTTGAACAATTCGAATATGAGAGCAAGTAGTAAATAACATTTAGAAGACACTTTCATCCAAAGCAACTTACAGCACACTTATTGGAACAACTTGTTTACCACACTTACTGAAGCTTAAAGAGATAGTTCATAAAAAAATAAAAAATAAAACTCATGTTGTTTCAGACCTATAAGACTTTCGTTCATCTTATGTTTACCATATATGTATGTGCATTTATAAATACGGTAACACTTTAGTATAGCGACCAATTCTCACTATTAACTCGTTGCTTATTAGCATACCTATTATTAACATATTGGCTGTTTAGTAGTACATATAAAGAACATATTCTGCATGACCATATTCAACATCCCTAATCCTACCCAATACCTAAATTTAACAACTACCTTACTAACTATTAATAAGCAGCAAATTAGGAGTTTATTGAGGCAAAAGTTGTAATTAATGGTTTGTTAATAGCAATAATTGGACCTTAAAATAAAGTGTGCCCATAAATATTTCTAAGTGACTGAAAACCTAAATTATTATTAAATATTATATATATATATATATATATATATATATATATATAAATATTTCTCTCTTCAAAAGATTTGGATTAAACTGCTTGATTCACATGGATTACTTTTACAACGTCCTTATGAACTTTTTGAAGCTTGAACGTTTTGGTGTAATTGACTTTTAGTGAAGGGACAGAAATCGCTCGGGTTTCATTAAAAATATCTTAATTTGTGTTTCAAAGATAAACAGAAGTCTTACGGGTTTGGAACGACATGACGATGAGTGAATGACAGAATTTTCATTTTTGGGTGAACTCTCCCTTTAAAGAACAGTTCAAGACCTGAATGACTTACTTTATTTAATGGAACACAAAAGGAGAGATTTTGAATAACGTACTGGCTGCTCTTTTACATGCAATGAGGATAAGCAAATTGGTCTTATGCCATAAAATGAACTGTGGATCCAAATTCATTGCTCAGTCAGTCTCTTGCACAAGAGTTATTCGAGACAAAGTGGATGTGAGATCATTCAGCACTGCACCATTTTTCAAAACCTTGCCATTTAACCTCTACAAATGGAGGACGTGATATCCCTCATGGGGCTGATGGCGATCTTGTCCTCTCTACACCCTTTCCCAGTGATCTGGTGACAGTGCACTCATGGAACAAAGCACTGCAGACCCCCTCCCTACCAGAGGAGCCGAAGTGTTTCGAGATACCATCTCATCTGCTGTCTTACAGAGCAGTGCTCTCGATCTCCTGACTCTTTCAGCAGCCACACCCAGACTGAAGCAGAAGACAAAACAAGGAAGCGGAGGGAATGAAATCCAAGACGAGACAAAGAGGGGGGGGGGGGGGGGGGGGGGGGGGGGGGGTAATGCTTTCACAGATACAACTATGTGACTAGGTGTAGCCCAGTGAACTAGAATAACACATTTAGTCCAGTTTGAGTCAACATTCCTTAAAAATGAAGAGTCTAATGCTTAGAGTCAGTATAAACGTGTAATCAAAGACAGATGCAGCTGAGATTTACAGAGCAGAGCAGAGAATTTAGCACAAAGACCGGTTGACAGATACTAGGCTAAACCAAAGACTATAGAATACCCAAGACGTGTCACTCGTATAGTTTTGAATGGGGAAAAATGCAATGCTCATTATGGCCACTCAATCGCAGGAAGCCCTGCCTTCTGAATGAAGGAGCCAATCGCTAATCGGTAAAGTCAGCGCGTCACTGTAGCTGCCGTTAGAAGTCCGGCTGCTATAGAAACAGTCAGCGCTCCGAGACGTGTGCTTAGTACTGCGCATGCGCACTGGCTGATCTAGCCTGAAAAATACGCTTTTTATAACGCTTTTTGAGCAAAATATACAACATTTATGGCACAGTTGATATCAGATTTCTTTGGTGATTTCAAATATGAAATTTAATCGCAAGCTTAGTGAACAGTTTTGTAGAATTTGATGTTTCCCCATTCAAAGAGATAGGAGCTGCACTTGCATGCCCGAGAGGCGTTTCAAAGATGGCCACTGAGTGCCATGACTTATCTTAAAGGGACTTTGGCTAAACTAATGTTTCTACTGATGGTGCATTTAAAAGGTGTAGAACAGATCAAATGCTACTTACAAGTTTAAAGTCAAAATTATTCTGCAATAAGCATTTTGCTGATTCTAACAACAGGCAGGCCTGGGCAATAAACCGATAACGATAATTATCACAATATATTTTTCAATTATCAGCTCGGCTCAACAGCAGATGTGTTTACTCGCGACCAGCGCTGTGAGATCCGGCAAGAAACGCTTGAATTCAGCGAAGAACACAAATGTCTTGGTGATTTAGTTCAAAGCCAGATGAATAGGCGCTGACGATCTCAACAGCACTAACAAACACAAGAAACACTGTGCCTGAACAATCCTATTAGAAGGCTTTTCCATGGATTTACTGTAGTAACACTAACTGCACCATGGTATTGTGGCAGAAATGTGGGATATACATATGGAATTTGATTAATATAGACGTGTATTAAATGTATTAAAGGAGTAATGGTTGTTATTAAGCTATAGCATTTGTGCATTTGTATTTGCATTTACACAATGTATTTAGGATACTGTTTTTTTATACAATTACCATAGAAACCATATAGTTGCTATATAGATGCTATTTATGGTTTTACCTTTGGCTCTCATGATCTAATTGGGTGATACTATAGATGACTAATGGTTATTTTAATGAAAGTAGAGCAGAGAAACATTTAAATTTTACTCTATAAATATGAGGTTGTTATAATTTGTACAGATTTAACTGTTTTTGTTAATGAACATACATTTATATTGCACCATCATAAGCCAGGGAGCACAAACCTGTTTCTCTATTGAGATATTAGTTAAGGAAAAAACTTAAGTTTACTCATTCATATTTTTGACATAGAAAAAAAAAAATGTTTATTATAAATGTTTTGAATATTGTACCTCAGATTTGTGTAATGTTCACCTTGGTAAGTTTTTCATGTTCTGGCAAAAAAAAATTATACTGGTTTCTACATCTCTTATTCAGAAGAAATCTGCCTTTAAACTTTAAAGAAATAAAGATTTGACATTTATCGTGATAGTTATCGATATCGACTGCTATGAAAAATTTTATCGTGATATTTTTTTTGCCCATATTTCCTAGCCCTAAACAATGAGTAACATAAATTCTATTGATTCAAATTTTATTTAGCTAGCATTTAAATAACGGAATGCAAACACGCAACACCAAGCCGAAGGAATGATATCTCTTCTGAGACACTTCACGGTCACACTTACCATTGAATGGCAAAATTTTGCATTGCATTTTCAATAGGAATCTGTCTGGTAATTTTGCGTAGGAAGAAAACATTTTCCCACACAGATTTTTCATCATGAACTCTTCGCACTGACCAACAGAATGCAGTTTGGGATGAAGCTGACTTGTGTGTGAGCAGTGCTTTGTGTGCATCACTACACTACTGACAGTGGACACAATGGACATTTTAGCCAGTGAAATTTTGCTAATTTCAGCATCTTAAAGAAACAAAGATGGATAGACCGCAGCTACTTGTACCTCTTAGAAGCCTAATCTCTGAAAAAAAATTACTTGCATTGGTCAAACTGCATTTCAGTGAAACAAAATATGCAACATTATTCCTAATTGCACTTGTTGGTGCAATACAATAATAATAATAACAACACTTTAAAGGGTTACTCCACCCCAAAATGAACATTTTGTCATTAATCACTTACCTCCATGTCGTTCCAAACCCGTAAAAGCTTCGTTCATTTTGGATGAAAACCAGGAGGCTTGTGACTGCCAAGTAAATAACACTGTCAAGGCCCAGAAAAGTATGAGACATCGTCAAAATAGTTCATCTGCCATCAGTGGTTCAATCTGAATATTACGAAGCTACGAGAATACTTTTTTGTACGCCAAGAAAACAAAAATAACGACTTTATTCAACAATTCGTCTCCTCCAATGGCGTCACCGTAGCGCCATTTTGGAGAGTATCCACTGAACATAAAACTGCGTATGCTGTTCTGTGTCAGCCGCACCACACAGATACGCTGTTTTCATTCAAATCAAAGCGTAAAAAAATTTAGAAAACATATCCGTGTGGTGCGGCTGACACAGAACAGCATACGCAGTTTTATGTTCAGTGGATACTCTCCAAAATGGCGCTACGGTGACGCCATTGGAGGAGACGAACTGTTGGATAAAGTCGTTATTTTTGTTTTTTTCGGCGTACAAAAAGTATTCTCGCCGCATCATTAAATTCAGATTGAACCACTGATGGCAGATGGACTATTTTGACGATGTCTTTCATACTTTTCTGGGCCTTGACAGTGTTATTTACTAGGCAGTGGCACAGTCACAAGCCTCCTGGCTTTCATCCAAAATATCTTAAATTGTGTTCCGAAGATGAACAAAGCTTTTACGGGTTTGGAACGACATGGAGGTAAGTGATTAATGACAAAATGTTAATTTTGGGGTGGAGTAACCCTTTAACTACTGGTTTCTGTCTTTTTATTTTCTATTTAGAAGGCCTCAGTGTGAACGGTGCTTTATCTGACCCAATGGACATGCACTAATAACCACACACTCGCCTCTCTCCCAGGTAGTCTCCTATTGCAGTCTTGTTAAGACCTTCACCCTTGTAGAGGAAGCGTGCGATGTCTTCACTGGTGTTCTTCAGAAGGTCATTTTCAATGAGGAACTGGATCCCCTACAAACACACATATATTCAAGATGTGTAGCCTCTAAAATAAAGACAAATGATACAGAATTCATGCAATTTATATGCTTTAATAGTCTGCTTAATCACCTTTTTGGGGTCCATGTTGAATTTCTTGCGGCCCATTGCCACTTGTTTGTTCCTCTGCATGTTTTTTCTGCAGGGACAATAATGATTTTTATTTAGAAATTCCTGAGGTTAATGCTTCTTTATGCCCTTTTACAAAAGATTTCATAAGGTTTATTTGATATACACGTCCATCTACACTTGACCCTCTAACACTAGAACTCTCTATTCTATCTACTTGTTTTCTTTTTATTTATTAAAAAAAAAACTAAATAAAAAACGACCCTCTAACACTAGCGTTCTCTATTCTTTTTCTACTTATTCAATTATTTTCTTTTTAATTATTATAAAAATAAATAACTTGACACTCTAAAACTAGCTCTATCTATTCAATCTCTTTTCTCTTTACTTTTTATTTATTATAAAAAACAACAACAACAACAACAACAAAAAAAAACTTGCTATGTGTAATGCGTTAGACTAACCAGGACTTATCACAACACTTCTATATCAATGCTCTTTTGTTGGTTTGATTGCTTCCATAGCCCTCATTTGTAAGTCGCTTTGGATAAGAGTGTCTGCTAAATGATTAAATGTAAATTAAATGTAAATATACAGACATCGTCCATAATGGATCCAAAAGTGAAACCACTACTGCAGTGAATGGACAAGTCTTGTGGAATCAAACTGGGATTGAGAATTGAAATTTGGTTCTTATTTTGAATAAGAATTAAGTACTGGAATCATTTTTTAATCTCTTTATTCTTTCACAGACAGAACACTCAGTTTTTTTCTCAGCCAGTTCTCTGGGAATTCTCTACTGCGCCTCATTTTGTAAAATAGTAGATCGTGTAGTAGTTAGATGCTAAAATGCTAGTCAGATTGACCTCAAGCATGACTCTCAAAGTGGCCGCATCAGTGGAAATCAAGTGCGTACAAGTAGTCTGTCAGGGGTCGCCCACTCACCTCTCCTCTGTGGAACCCAGGTTCTCGATCTCACTGGTCACTTCGGCGATCTCATCTTTCAGACGCTGTGGTAAGAGGACATGAGACGGTTCAAATCAAACGAGACTCCAGAGATAGTAACGCCACACTACAGTGGTCGATAAAGATGAGAAATGAAACAAAAAGACATGCACATTGTGTTTGGAGTTGTGTCGTGAGTGAAACAAACCCAATTACAGTAATCCTGAAACACAGTGTCCTGAAAAGGTACTTTTTCTGTCTTCGTCGAAAGTGAAATTCAGCATGAAGCAACACAATCAGCCAATTAAAGTAGGCTTCTCCTACCTTATTGTTGAAACACACACTTATTTGGAGCACATTTCACTGCGCATGATTAGAAAACAGTGTAAAGGTCTACTAGAAGAGAGTACTGTGTCCTGTCCCACCTCACCGAGGCCTGACATCAACAGCTCAAATCTCATTCCAGCGGATGAATCGTTTGCTCTAGACTGCTCTGTTTGAGATAAATGCCATTAAAGGAGGACAATTGGAGAATGGCCCCAGAGTAAAGACTAGAGACATCAAAATTGGATTATTTTACCATAGATTAATGGAGTTAGGATACAGGCCCAAGAGTTTAGCGGCGGTCTGGAGCCAGACTGGTCCTGAGGTCACACAATGAAGAGTTTTCCCTCCTCGTATTCATTTTTTCTGTTTAACCACCAACTGCACGGTGAAATTCGCTCAAGTGTTTGTTCCTGTCTGTTTATACAGTAAGTCTAAAAAAATCACTAGCAAAGAAAAAGCTGTTTTTGCTTTCCCAGACCTTCGTCTTCCCAAAGGAAAACAGAACCACTTCTGTCAGAAGACCTTAACATGTAGAAGTTTGGTTTAGAAAGGGTAGGTAGGGTAGGCTTGATGTAAACGGATTGGGCTGCAGGAAATTATACATCCCCATGGAAAACTGAAGGACTTTTAAGTGAGTATGTAGTATACTGGAGGTCAGTGCCATGACAGGATTGTGTCATAGCAGTAGAGCTGAAAGTGGTCAGCGTTTAGCTCATCTTTCCTAAACAATCCCACCTTGAGTCATTTCCTCTTTGGACAAACTGTGTTCATAGTTAGTGACTCACTGGTCAGATTCTACATCATCACCACTTTTATACAACATATGTGACCCTGGAGCACAAAACCAGTCATAAGTCACACAGGTATATTTGTAGCAATAGCCAACGATACATTGTATATGTCAGAATTATTGATTTTTCTTTTATGCCAAAAATCATTAGGATATTAAGTAGATCTTAATATCCTAAAAAAATTATGTTCCATGAAGAATTTCCTATTGTAAATATATCAAATATATTAGTAATATGCATTGCTAAGGACTTAATTTGGACAACTTTAAAGGAACACTCCACTATTTTTGAAAATAGGCTCATTTTCCAACTCCCCTAGAGTTAAACGGTTGAGTTTTACCGTTTTCAAATCCATCCAGCCGATCTCCGGGTCTGGCGGTAGCACTTTTAGCTGTAGCATAGCATAGATCATTGAATCTGATTAGACCGTTAGCATCTCGCTCAAAAATGACCAAAGAGTTTCTATATTTTTCCTATTTAAAACTCAACTCGTCTGTAGTTACATCGTGTACTAAGACCACCTGAAAATAGTCCCCAGCACGCTCCCTGTGCAAGCAGGTGGTCACGTTGGTTATGTTGATGGAAGTTAGCCTATTTTCAGGCGCTGCGTAATATCATTGCGCCTGCTGTACCCATGGTACGGCAGCAAAGTTCCTTGATTATTGCGCCGGAATGAGAGTATAGTTCCTAGCCATATCGGCCTAGAAAATTGCAACTTTTCACTTTCCGTCGGTCTTAGTACACAATGTAACTACAGAAGAGTCAAGTTTTAAATAGGAAAAATATCGAAACTCTTTGGTAATTTTTGAGCAAGATGCTAACGGTCTAATAAGATTCAATGATCTATGCTAAGCTACAGCTAAAAGTGCTACCGCCAGACCCGGAGATTGGCTGAATGAATTCGAAAACGGTAAAACTCAACTGTTTAACTCTAGGGGAGTTGGAAAATTAGCCTATTTTCAAAAATAGCGAAGTGTTCTTTTAAAGGCGATTTTCTCAATATTTAGATTTTTTTTTGCAAGCTCAAATTCCAGATTTTCAAATAGCTGTACCTCAGCCAGATATTGTCCTATCCTAACGAACCATACATCAACGTAACGTAAAAAAAAAATTACCCTTATGACTGGTTTTGTGGTCCAGGGTCACATATATTTTTAGATTCCTGAAGTTCTTTAATACCAGGAGAGAGATAAGATTATATTATTATAATATTATAAGAAATAATATTATAACTAATGCTTTTTTTTTTAAGCAACTTGGCAAATTAATGCAGAATGTGAATTTCAACAGAAGGCTTTCAAAATAAAATACTAAGAGTAAAACATGGGACACCAGTCTGTGTTTGTTTTCTCTAACTTGCCATAAACGTCATTTTTGGGAGAATTTTAAATACCATAATGTTGGTATTTCAAATTTCTAAATCTGGTTTATGTCAAATTTCTGTTTTTCAATGCCATTTAGTTATTAACAGGGCACTGCTTGCTTCTGATGTGTAAATAAATCTTTAATAAAAGATCAGAAGATATTCCGCTAAACTGAGTGGAAGACAGAAGCAGAGGCGGCTCACAGTCTCTGAAACATTCAATGCTTCAGTAAGGAGAAAAAAGCATTACTATGAAAACAAAGAGCCTCCACTACACATGCAGCTAAAACATTTGGCTCATATCGGAGTTGGAGTTGAATGAATGAATGATTCACCCCAGTTCTTCATTACCTGAATGTCCTCCAGCAGCTCCTGCTTTCGCCGGCGGATGTTTTCCAGCTCTTTCTGCTCCTCAGGCGTGAGGTCGTCAGGCACTGAGGACAAGAGGAAAAAAAACATGTTTTTTGTCAGCCAAACAATTTGAAATGTTCTGATAATGTCGTAGTGCTGATTACAAGCTACCAGGGTTGATATGATAAAAGATTAGGTGAAAGAAAGGACCGTAAACAGAATCGACACAGTATTTTACTCTCTAGCCAGACGCCACAGTCCTTTTACAAACTTTCATTCACCGTGTCACATCTCACACACAGCATCCTCCTGTAACCATGGCAACCCATCACCATTTCAAACCCCATCTGTGAGGGTGCTGAAAACTCGGTGGTCAAAACCACTCATTTCACAGCTGATAATCCTTCTTAAATATTCAGTTACACTTGAAATTATAGCGATCAAACAGTGAAGTTGAATTTTCCTACTGTAACACATAAAAATCAAAGCTTCCATCACATTCCACTAAGATTAGGCTATTTAATAAAACTAAACTGCAAAAATATTTCTATCGTGGTTATAAATCACAACCGCAAGCATATGGCCGCCCATTTTATCACTAATTACGGAGTATTGAGCAGCTGAGCCACCCGAATGAATCTGTGTGAAGTACAACAATATGTGGAGGCCAGTAAATGAGATACAAAAAAAAGTGACCATGAAAAACTACCAATGTTTTGGTGAAATTACGGAGAAAACAGAGACAAAACATAGATTTATGGGAATTACTTGCTTCCATGTTTTAAAAAAAAAATCAGCTCATACTAGGGTTGTGACGGTGAGGAAATTTTCCCACCGGTTAATCGACGTGTGACAACACCGGTAATATCGGTATCACCGTGGGGGCTGGGGCTGGGGGTGTTCCCTCTTTTCCTCGCTTTCCTTCGCTTTTAAATAGCTTGTAAAAGCTGTGTGCGTATTTTACTTTCACTTTCAAATAGCGGCAATTCGGCGTAAAGCAATTGTTCGTTTTTAGTTCGTTTGAATTTCCCCTCTTTTCCTCGCTTTTAAATAGCTTAAAAGTGCCGTGCACATTTTACCTTCACTTTCGAAATAGCGGCAGTTCGGCGTCAATTGCTTGAATGCAACAACAAAATACAACGTCAAACTCACGTTAGCCTATATATATATATAAAAAACATAGAACTTTTATTAACAAAACAAATTAAAATACACCATGCTATAGGGCAGGCTATGCCTAATATAAAATAACAAATAACTTACATAAAGTTTAAATAGGTATACAAAACTGGAAATAGGCAAAGTAAAAATGTATAATATATAACCAAATAAATAAGAAACATAGAAAGTTTATTAGCAAAACGAGTAAGAAAGCTTGGAGGCACAGCATACACCTTGATGTAAACAAAATAAATAAATGACACAAAGTTTCAAGTAAAAATCAGCAAACAATGTGGAACCACTTAAATAAGAAACGAATGTTTAAAAAAACTTCCAAAATCACCTTAGATAAACGGCAAAAGTCAACAGGCTTTTCAAAATCCAAAATATTGCCAAACAGGCGCTTTTGCATCTCGTTTCGAAACTAAATCATCCGCGTTCGTCTTGTCTGTCTCACCTCACTCTTCTTGTCAGTCAGCTCGACTCTCCTTCACTGAATAAATGCAATCTGATCTGTGATGCGACTGTCGTTCGGCACGCTGCATTGAGCAGCCGAGTTCAGTTTTTAATTGTAGTGTCTGTTCTTTTACTGAACTAAATTATTTTTATTACTATAAAAATCTAAACGATGGTGGGGGTCGGTGCCCCCGGTGGGCAAGAGACATAACTGGTGTTGCGGCTCAACACCGGTCTCACCGTCAGCACCGTCTATCGCGGCAAGCCTAGCTCATACTGGGTCAACACACTCTAAAAACCACATTGGAATTATGCCCATTTTCTCAAAATCAGAAGGAAAGTTTATGACCTTAAAAACACCATCACCAATTATGTAGAAAAACATATGACATAACTACTGCACTAAATCAATGAAAGCTGATTTGAAAAGAAACTCTTAATTTAACAGTGTAAAAACCCTTTTAAGTTCTCTGAATCTGAAAGGGAAAGATATGATGAACCACTTCACATGCATGCTGCTGTACTCTGGCTCCTGTACTGACGCAGTTTGTTGATGGAAAACCCCATTAAAATCATGCAATTACAAACACAGAGACATCAAAGTTCAGCTTTCTTCAACAATGAACAATGAAATGAAGTGAAGAGAGAGCTCAGTGTTAGCTTTTCTCAAAAAACCCACATGAGGAGCATGAATTCTCTGTAATGAATTCTCCCACAGGTTCTTTCCCTCCACTGCATAAACGTCTTATGGAGCTTTTTTCCTTTGGTACAGTCGCCTCTGACTTGCTATCTGCTGCCGCTCAAAACTGATAAATGAGTCAATCTCAAATTTTTTAGGGCAGCAGGATCAGATCAGGTCTCAAATGGAGTAATTTCAGTGCAGCAGTCAGGTTGTTAATCAGAATCACCCACACATGCTTCCCACACACATGAACCCACACACAGCTAAAGTGTCAAGAGTCACAAACAAAACCAGTCATCTCGCTCTTTCTATCCCTATCCACCTTATTTTTCAATGCAGAAGTGAGCCATTTTCTGTAAATGTGCAAGATTCCAATTGATTTGCCACTATAGGTAAATAACTAGATAAACTGCAGTAAATGGTCAAATTATTGGGGCTTCAATTAAGGCCCAATCCCAATTCTATTTATACCCCTTCCCCTACCCCTTCCCCTTGTCCCTTGAAACAGAGTGTCAAGGGGTAGGGGTGAAAATATTCCACTAAGAATTGGGACACCACTACTATACATCACACGCCATCATACGTCGTCTAGCTCCTACAATACACACACATACTGGTGTGCATTAGAGCCTTTAATTACCGTTCTATATTAAATGCGCTGCTTACGGACACACACATATCGGAGATTGCGCAGCTCACACATCCAGGAGTAAAGAAACTTGTCAACGCTGCCCCACGACTTTTATTAATAACAGTTTAAATACTGAATCAATACATTATATTTTCCAGCGACGAGAGGATAAAATCGCTGTTTTCTTAAGTAAACTCACTCTAAAAATAGAAACGCACAGACGCGCATACACGCAACTTTCATCTCGCTCGCTCTCGAATTGGCAATATTTGAGAAAAGGGTTTAGCGATTTCTAATTATTGGGGGACTAGCCCCCCTCAATGTCTATGGTGGTTATTGCCCTGATCAGACATGAAAATATGTTGTGGCACTATCGTGCAGTCTATAATGATATGACGTTAGTTAGCAAATATTAGCGATTTTTTTTGCAAACATTTCTTTGAGTAACATGACCGTAAATATGAACTCACGATTGAATGTAACAAAACAAATGATTGCTTTTCGTTAACATATTTATTAATGCCAAAAATGCTTACATTTATTTGTCTTTTTGTTCACTCGGGCAGCCATGTTGCCGCTGAAGCCGGTTTACCCTGAGATAATTCATACCCCTTCGTTTGAAGTGTGGTCCCGAAAAATCTTCGCTTGAAGGGCTATCTAGCCCTTCCCCTACCCCTACCCCTCCAACCAAAAGAGAATAGAGACACCCCTACCCCTTCACGTGAACGCGCGAAACGGAGGGGTAGGGGAAAGGGGAAGGGCTAAGGGGTAGAACTGGGATTGGACCTAAATGTGTTTATGATTAATAAAATATAATATGATAAGAAAAACCAGTATGCAATATAAAGCAGACTATTTTGTACAGATAAAATAACTGCACACCACATCCAGGTTACTAACTTCTACACCTGTGGATAGCACTGCTCTTCCCTGTGTCTATATTAATCAAACTGCATGGTGAAGACTATAAAAGTGCAATTATTATTATATCTTAACTATATTTTCAAGTAGTGTTCAGAAGTCTGAGACAATTTGTGAATTTGGCAATCAGTCAGATCTTTAATTTTAATAAATTGGTTTAAAAAGTGTTTTTGTGTTAAGTATAAGTCGGCTGACTGAATAAATACTGATTTCATGAGCTTAATTTTCATCACCCTGATATTTGCAATAGGCTGTGTAAACAGCAACTATATTATTTAGCAGAAGAAATGTTGATACTGATTATTATATTTCAGAAATGTAAATATTTATTGAACATTGGTGTATTTGGTATCATTGTATTTTTGTAGCCAATGTTTAATATATAACCAATTTTATTAAATGGCAGATAAATATTGGTCTGTTTTAGGAAAATATGATGAAAAGAACATCATGTCATAAAACTAGCATAAAAGCATTTTCTATAGTGGTCTCAGATAGGAGCCCACTGTATATTATCATATGTGCTCTAAATAGTGATTGGCTATGAATATAAAACAAAAGGTTCATATTCCAACAAAACCAAACTGTCTCCATCTGATAACAAAAACTGAAGATGAGCATCTCTCAACTCACGCCTCACGAGCCTATGTTCTGGATTTGTGAAACAGTTCAGCTGGTTTGATCGGGGTATTATCCAGAACATGCTCTTCTGCTTATTCAGTGACCTCATTTACAATGGGCTTTTTCCTGACATATTTAGTGAGCATGATCACACCCCTCCTCTGCGTTCTGTTGCTGAGAGCAGCAGGAGCTTTTATTGACCCGTTTCTGTGGTCCTTATTTAAGGCATGAAGTGTGAAGAGTGTTTTGCTTCGATTAGTCGTTAAAGCAGCTCTGCAGTTGTTCAGAGTGAATGGAAGGGTGGAGCCCTTCCTAATGGGCAGAGGCACCATAACCCAGCAAAGAAAAAACACAATTACCAAGAGCCTCTTGACATAAACAAGTCCTTGAAGACCCAGCCCAATTTCCATGTTGTCAGAATTGGCACACATTTATTTTCCATCCAGAACCACTGGAGAACTCTCCTCTCAAAGTCAGGAAATGAATCCTCAAGGATCTCCTTTCTTGGATCTAACCCAGTTTAGCATTTGCCTATGGGAGCCCAAGGCACCGCATGGAAAAAAATGCCCATCAAGAGTTCATGAGATTTGAACGTAATATGTAATAAATGA